GATACAAAACAGTTAAATACACATTTTTAATTTATTGTAATTTTCCAGGATGCCATATAAATGTTGGTTTTGATCACCATCAGCCATCAACAAGCACTGCAAAGCCTAGCATCTCACTAGCACCTAATGAAGGTAATTTCAAACAGACAACTTTTATTTAATATTTTTAAACTGTAATCTTTTATTTCTATGAGACTAGCAGACTGCACCTTTGCGTGGACAACTCAAATATGTAAACTAAATGTGAATGTGTAATATGCATAAACCTTTTGAAAATTGCATAGAAATCCACTTCTCAAATTGCAAAATTATGTTATGATTAATGTAATTTTGCTTTGTGTGTCAATATCATAGTGTAAGTGTCAAGAGGTGACAGAAAAATGAAATAGGAGATGAACAGCTACATCTTCCTGATAACAACTTAAAATAATGGAAAACTGCATTGCCTGCCAAGCGAGGCAACTATGGGCAATTTTCAGACTATATTTAGTAGAAGACTTATGATAGGCTGCAATGAATAAATGAATTTTGATTGAGTTATGATGGCAAGTTCCAAATTGGAAACAGATCGCAATTTTACAACTCCAAAATTGTTAAATAGTTTTTATACTTTGCTGACTTTTTTTAGTTATTGAAACTAATGTTTATTTAAATTATTTTCAGCATCAAAGAAGACTAGGCTTTGCAAAGTATTCTCTTCTGAAGCTCTCTTGTTCACAAAATTAAAAAATTACCAGCTAATAAAGACCATTTTGCATTGAAGCTGAAAAAGGCTCTAAAGCTATCTGAAAATCCTAGTTTTCAGAAAGCAATTTCTAAATTTACGTCAGCTGCCCTAATATTAACTCTGCTTCAGTTCCATGAAATTAATAAAAATAAAATGAGAAGATATTCAAAAAAAGAAAAAGTTTTGTCCTTAGCTCTTTAGAAACAAGGGCCTAGAGCTTACAGGTGGCTTAGGAATGTATTTGTTCTGCCTTCTTCAGCAACACTGAGTCGCATGATAGCAAGAGCTGCTTTGAAGCCTGGAATGAATGATAATTTGACGTTTTAAGTAAAAAAGTTAAAAAAATGTCCGACTGACAAGTTATGCATATTGTTATTTGATGAAATTGCAATCTCACTGCATTTTGAGTACAACAAGAAGAGAGATATTATAAAAGGATTTGTTAACAATGGCAAGAAAAACATGAAAATTGCAGACCATGCATTAGTGTTTATGGTGAGGGGAGTGGAGTGGAGAATTACAAACAGCCTATTTATTATACATTCTGCTCTGGAAGCACACAAAAAGATGAATTAAGTAGGTTTGAAGGTTGTAGCAACAGTATGTGATCAATGTGACCAACCAACTAACATGGGTTCAATTCATAATCTCATAGTTGAAACAAAAGAGCACATCATCTGAGAAAAAATTCCGATTATAATAAAAACACCTTTGAAATTGATGGTGATGAAATTGTGCCTTTGTTTGATCCTCTACACTTGATCAAAGGCATTAGAAATAATCTTTTGACCAAAAACTTAACGTATGTTATTGACAATAAAAAGAAAACTGCCAAGTGGGACCATATTGTTCAATTACATAAAGAAAATCCAGCCTACCAAGGCATCAGACTTCTTCCAAAACTCACAGAATACCATGTGAACCCACAGAAAATACCTAAAATGAAAGTGAAATGTGCTACACAAATTTTTAGTAGATCAGTTGCTGTAAACATGGGATACCTAGCAGGTAAAAATAACAATCTTCTTTAGTTTTATTTATGATTTTTTCTTATTAAACTTTAATAAATAACTAACATATTTGTTAGATTATAAAATATCCAATCATTTGGCCATAAAATCCATAAATAATAGTATTTATTTTTAATTTGAATATACTATTCTAAATTTTTCATTGAAACTGATTTTAGTTATGAATATGATATATAATTATCATATGAGTCAAACATTACAAAAGAAATCATTCTTGCATTATTGTCATTTGCAAATCTATAAACTTGGCTCGTACATTGTTAGTGTCTCAACTCATAACTAACCAACAAAGGAGACGGGCGAAAGTTCATAGAAAGCTGGGCCTGATGTTACAGCAACGATTACTGTATTATTTTATTTATATATCATTACCATTTTAAAAAAACAAATGTTTACGAGTGCTTCATGGTAGAAAAAAAATATAGGTTGTTATTTTGCTTATGCTATGCATACAATGTTATTCTCACACCAAGCTCTCACATTACACTTTAAGAAAATAATTATTAGAGTTTATTGTAAACTAGACATCACCATAATTTTATGTATTGTAGGACCTTCACAAATAGAAGATTCAGACGCCGCCGTCCTACTAAATTCTAGAAGTTTAAAATAATTATAAAAAAGCAGAAGGAGGATGAATTAAAAACATTTTCTCTTTTAATGATTTATTAATCGTCCACTTCATCATAAACAAATAAAATATCGTCTAAAAACGGTGCAGGCAGTATTAAATTCTCTTGACGCCTTGCCCAGCTTAGGTACCATATTATGGACATTACATAACAACAGCAACCTACAGTTCTTTTTCCTACCAAAGAATTGAAATAATACTGTTTGATGATCTCTCTACCATTAAGAGGACTGACAACTAAAATATATGTAAAATATGTTTTTGAGCTTATGTATATGTCTCGATTTTATTCGACCTCTCAATAGCCAGCTAGAATGGTTAGATAGTACCATTATAGGTAGCTATTAAGAGGTCGAATAAAGACAATTCTCTTAGTAGGTTGCTGTCCGTTTCTAGACACACTTCTATTTCATATCTCCCATCTTGTGTGTGTTCACCATAATGGGACCTAGGCCACTTAATTTGATAAATACCTAAAGATATTTTTATTAAATTACTGTGTGTGAGTGAGCTGGGGAAAATCATTTATCATTTTGCACATGTATACTTGTAAAACCAGAAAAGAAACCGTCAGAATCCTTTATACGTAGTCAGAGACGTTAAAGATGGGAATATTATTACAGCACAGAAAAACAACAGAAAATATTCACTAGCACCGCAAGCTCAGAGCCAAACAAAATTACCCTATATAAAAAAAGTACTCTGTGAACAAAAGTAACAAATGATTTGAGTGACGTTTTTAGTTTTTAAACTAAGGTTGACATTTCCGCTTTGTGGCCTGTATAAAACATTGATAATCGATTGTGAAATCGATTTATTAATTTATTCAGTCAATTTATTTTTACGACTATTTTGAAACGTTAAGGTGTCACGAGGGAACCATTATTTTAATAAGAAGTTTCTTAAACTTACCTAAAGAAGAAAAGATTGAATCACTTTTTATTGTCTTTTTTCTATTTTTGTATTAAAATCGATTAACTAACCTATTTCATCTGGCAGCATTGCTTAAAAATAAAAATAACGGAAGTCAGTATTATTCTTATAACATATTTAATTTCTTTTGCCATGATAAAACTGCTTAATATTTCATTATTAACTACAAAAAAACTTTAAAAAAATATTGATAAATATTGCACTTGTGTAACGTTAGGCCCAAATTCGCCCGTCTCCTTTTACATTCATATTTTTTATGGGTGTCATAAAAGGCGACAGAGGGAAACAATGTAATAATAATAATAATAACTAAAAAAAATCCTTTGGTTGCCAACCAAGCATGGCAACTAAGCCAAATGTCCTGCCTATGATGTTATCTATGTAAGAGATACATTAGCTAAATAAATAAATATATTTTGTGAAGGTGTCTTATTAATAATTTTATTATTAACTTTTTTCCAGATAAAGGAATTCTATCCAATGACTGCAAGGATACTGCCGATACATTATTATTTTTGATGAACTCTTCAACTCATTAAATGGAAGCTATGAAAATAATAAGAAATGATGTGGTAAATCTCTTTTAGGTCCTTTAACCCCATCATCATTTCATCAAGTAGTGTGGGATAATGCTACACCAATTCTGAAAACCATGAAGTTTGTGTGAAAGCACAGGCACATCTGCTTGTGTTCCATCCATTAGGAATTGGTGGTTACACACCATTGAAAATATCAAATATTGGAAAACAAAATTATTCAAAGAACACAATTTGAATTCGTTTCGAATAAGGAACCATGGGCAAAGAATATATACACTACGCGAAAAGAAACGACACTTAAGCATGTGTGCACGTAAAATCGCTTGCGGCTAGGTGTGGGTGTCAGGATGTGTGCGAGTGGCCTTGAGAGGCGCGCGGGGCGTGGAACGGGCAGTCGCCGACTGCCCTGGCCTAGGGCTAGTAGTAATAACGATATTTGTCAGTATTATTCGTTAATATGAATATATTCGTCAAGTGATATAATATTTCAATTAATATATGAATATTACAGATCATTAATATTCTATTCATGTAGGTATTAAGTTTATGTTACCAAGTAACGTTATTAGTTTTTATAGCCGTGTATGCTAGGTTTATATGCTTTGATAAATATTTTTGTTTTTATTAAATAAATGATATTATAGTATATGTGTAAGTATTACTGAAAGTGATTTTAAGTGATTACAATTAAAATAAATTCCACTGCACAAAACAAGGGCCCTTGTTTTGTTAGTTTAATTTTTAATAATGTTTTATGATACCTAAAAATATGTGAACTCATTTTAATGAAAGTCGATATGATCTTAACAAGAATTATAGGGAAAAATACCATGGCAATAAAACTAATATATCGCCAATAATTTTATTATATTACATTAACTGAAATATACACTATTAAAAATACCACTAGAGTCAAGAAATTTTAGATATCTATAGCCTCCTCGATCCTGACGCCCCGTATAGGGGACAATTTTGTCAGTGCCTCCCGCTGTCGGCTGTTGTTGTAAACGTTATAATAACTGATTTAAAAGCTTATATATAGATGGCACTTTTCTACAAAATTTACTTTAGGCCCACTATATGCAGGAAAGTTGTTATTTCGCCAGTTTGAAATCGCGTGTTAACAGACTACCAAAGAAATGGCTACCCGTGGTAAGTTTTAAGCTGTTTTTTATTGGAATAGCGCACGTTTCTTTTGAAATTACTTTGTATTGTGATAATTAGGTTACTTGACATATTGTGAAAACTTTTTTTTCGCATTTCGATAAATGATATGACCGTACTGATTGCTCGCTTGTGGATGTCCCGCATAGGGGACTTTCGGTTTTGGCCTTTACATATGTATTTAATAAATACATTGTAGTTAAAAAGTTTCTTATTATTTTCTAGGCTTATCTTCAGAACAGATACAGTCGGCTTTAGAGCTGAGAGATGATGACTCAATCATCGAAGGTATTTCCGATGAGGATGACTCGATCTCTCTTACTGCTCATGCAGAAACTCTCCAAGAAGGTGGAGAAAGCTCTAGTGAGTATTCAAGTGATGATGAAGTACCACTCTCCACATTTTCTGCTCCTCAGCCTTCTCAAATGAATCGTCGGATTTATTGGAAGCACCTAGACGACTTCGCACCATCTCCACCCGGAGTTTATCATCTTCCTCTAGCATCCAGTCACGTTAGAGTTTTACAAACACCGTTTGAATATTTTACCAGATATATTCCTGAAAAAAATATTCGAAATATTCAGCTCCTTTTCAAATCAAACTTATTTACATAAAACAGGGAAGAATTTAGGCACAACAAAAGATGAAATGAAAATCTTTTTTGGCATATGTATCGCTATGAGCTATTTGGGTTTGCCAAGAATTAAAATGTATTGGATGAGTAAAACTAGGATCCCAATGATAGCTGATCGTATGACTAGAGATCGTTTTTTTCGGATAAGGACTAACTTGAAACTAGTGAATGACCTTGATGTCGATACGGCTGCCAAACAAAATAAGTTTTGGAAAGTGCAACCCCTAATTGAAACGGTACGAAAAGCTTGCCTAGAAAATCCCAGACCTCAAGAAGTCAGCATTGATGAACAAATAATACCATTTTGGGGCCAAGTATCAATGCGGCAGTTTATCAGGGGAAAACCAAACCCTTGTGGGCTGAAGAATTTCGTTTGTACCAGCCCGGGTGGTATACCCTTAGATTTTTTCTTGTATGAGGGCAAGGGTGATAGCATACTACCGACTGGTGAAACTGAAGGTCTGGATATTGGCGGGAAAGTCGTAATGAGATTGGCTAATAATTTACCTGAGGGTTCCAAGCTATACATGGATAGATATTTTACATCAATTGAGCTGTTAGACAAACTATACACAGAGAAAAAAATGCAAGGAACGGGCACTCTCAAGAAGTCAAAAATCCCTAAAGCATGCAATTTTAAAACTGATAAGCAGTTAAAAGATCAGGGACGAGGTTCTTCTGACCAATTAGTAAGGAATGATGGCGTAATAGCTTGTTTGAAGTGGTTTGACAACAAACCTGTAGTTATGGCATCATCTGCAGATTCAAAGTTACCTGAAAACAAATGCCGGCGCTGGTGTAAGAAGACGAAGCAATACATCGAGATTAATCGGCCTTATGCTATTCAGCAATATAACGAAAATATGGGGGGGAGTGGACATGCTGGATAGGGTTATTAGCTTCTATAGAATAAGCGCACGCTCAAAAAAATGGACGGTTCGATTGATATTCCATTTATTCGACTTTGCGGCAGCTGCAGGATGGTTGGTGTACCGGAAAGAAGCCCAAATGTTGGATACTCCTAAAAAGGACACTCTGGATTACTTGGAGTTCAAAGCCGAAATAGCAAATTCTTTGCTCTATTTCACTCCAGCAAGAGAGCAAATAATACACCTGTACGAGGAAGTTGATGATGTGCCAGCAGAAGCTAGTCAAACTAGCCGCAAGAGGAAATATGTCCCTCAACCCCCATTGCAGCTGAGAACAGCCATGGCAGGTCATTTACCAATGATTGATAACGAGTCAGGTGATCACAGATGCCGCTTGCCAGGTTGCAAGAGCAAGAAAGCAAGGGTATACTGCTCAACTTGCGGCATGCATCTATGTTTAGTCGCAGGGCGGAATTGTTACAAACAATATCACGAACAAAATTAATTTTTATTTGAATAAATACTTCTTTCTTTCACTGAGCTTTAAGGTTTTATTTATATCTTTTTCATAACACTTAAACCGAAAGTCCCCTCTAGGGGACACGTAATAAAACAAATATATAAATAGAAAAAAATACAAAGTATATTTTTGTTGCTTTAAAATGTATTTCTAAGTATGCCTATCAAAAATTGTATCAATATCTATCAAAACAACACCTCAGGACTGAGGAGGATAGAGTTTTTGTATTTGTTCATACACATAGGGAACAATTTGTTGGCCGCTATGTCCCAGGAAACCTGCATATCTTTGGATTTTCTAAAAAAAATATACATGCTACGAATTTTTGCAATTGTTAGAAATAATAATTAAAATTAAAAAATTAATCGAAAAATTCAAAAATATATGAGTAAATTATTTTTAAATGATAGTAGGTAATACTGATTATTGCGTACTGAAATACTAAATGTTGGTTAATTCTTTAAGATTACCATTAACTGTCGTGCATATTTGGTTTTGTCGGAAGTTTTAATGTTCCTCATTTAATAAAAGTTGATTTAAAATTGAACTTATCTTTCACTACCTAAATACATAATTTTACATAATATATAACACATACCTACTATGTATCTTCTTTGGAACAAGTCTATAATATTTCATTTCGGTTCGATATCAACCCTAGCGTTACACGCTTCGACTCAAGGTCACCGGCGCTCAAGCTCAAGCTCTCACGTACAGGGAGTGTCACCACTGTGCCATGGGGCAAGGAATGTCAATCCGACATCAGCAGGTTTTGAGATTGCATTTGCATCATTTTTAGTAAATAATTTAAATAACTCGCATTCACCAGGGGCTAATTGTGAGAGATTCCTGCCAACTATTGAAGTCACATCGTACAAGTTATTTTTTCGTAAAAAAAACTCAAACCAATGTTACAACAGAAGTAAATATTGATCATATTAATAGTCACGAGATCTTGAATGATATACATATTAAGCTAAGTAATCCTAAAATCAAGGCACAATTAGAATATATTAGTGGATATGTACTAAGAAAATTAAAAAATCATTTTTAAAATGTAAAACATGCTTAACAAATTTGTGTGATAAAGGACTAATAGTAATTTAGATAACATTAAAAATTATTTTAAAACAATTATGTGTATAGTTTGCGAATTCAATTTCCTAACTTGTGCGATACATAAAAATGATATTATAGAAGATATATTAGATATTACTTGCAGGTTCTTTCTACACATAGTTGGGCCAATAATATAAATAAAATATTAAAAGGAGCAAGAATTGATGTTTATAAAGATGATGTAATGCAATCTCAAGCCTTTAATTATTACTTAAAAAGAAAAAAATAAACTTTTAAACAAATAAATATATGTGGTTTTATTGGTTTCAATTTTTTTCATGCTAAATCTATTACATAATGTTTTTAGCTCAATTCAGACTTTAAACATTGTGTAAATAATGAAATAAAATAAATATTAAAAAGTAAACCTATATACATCCATGTTATGAAACGTAGTTATATATACAATATGTAACGTAATTACCGCACACCCTCAGACACCCCAATTAGTATATTATGTTATAATCCATAATACATACATGAATTTTTAGTTAAACATTTTTATGCATTGATTATTTATCAAATTAGTTATACTAATTCCGGAAGAATGTTGTGATCACAGTACAAATCCACGAACGCAAAGACTTTAACGCGCTTGAAATAAAGTTCATTTTTCTTTATTTTTATTGAATGAGAGAATTAGTAATTATACAAATAAAACTGCACTCTTAAAAGTCTTATTGCCTTAAGTTACGATCCTTTCATTTTGTTTTGACCGTACAGATTTAGTGTGACTGTAATTTACGTAGTTTTAATTATTTTTGGGATAAAAAATTACCTATATTAAAAATGATAGGAATCGATTCAGTAAACGATTCTGAACAAACTACATTCTCAAAGTGCGTTAATTATGTTACGTGTTGTACATATATTCAATATTTTTTTAGTTCGGACACAGAACTGTAGTAGGCGCTGGAGTCACATTACTTAACTACCAACTCTATTTCTGATTATTCAAAGTACTCTGTGGCGCGAACTAAAGTGAACAATTGCGAATGTGGAGGGATAGGTATGTTTTTCGCGACGACTTCGCGGCAAAATTACGGCGTGAATTCACGCCGTGAATCGAAGTCTGGAGCCCGCAATATGAATTTTCTGTAGCCCTGTTATGTAAACCTTACGTTCATGATTACGTTTTCGCTCTTATTCATACGTTCAGTGAAATAAAAAGCATCAAATTTACTTTAGGAGTATTAGTGTTCGGCACAAGACACAGACTCCAAAGGAGTCCTTTGGAGTCATTAGACAGAGAACGTGTTAATTTTATTAACATTTCACTGATTGGGCTATAGCTGAACATGAAAATATTCGACAAAAACTAAAATCCAAACAAACGCAATAAAATTTTGTCACCTAGGTGTGATTGTTAAAGGAATACAGTATAGCATTAAAATCCCACTTTATGAACCCTCGATTTAAAATAGTAACATTCAAGGTTGCAAAGAAGAGACTAAACTATTTTGCATAATGGATTACTACTAAGAAGCCTACAAAAATTAATTCGGTTAGGTTGTTTTTGGTAACAACAAAGCTGAGTAAACACTTGTTCTATTTTAGTATATTCATAGTGTATGAGATCTCCGACGCGTGGCGTGGCATCGTCGTGTATCATTTTCGCTAGTGTGGACGCAAAATGATACACGATCATGCTACTCGCCGCAGCTTTATTATACACCCCTAGCCGCATGTATCATGATCGGCAGAATGATTTATAGCAGTGATTCCCAAAGTGGTCTATATCGACCCCTAGGGGTCTATGACAACCTGCAAGGGGTCTACGTCAGCGAAAAAAAAAATTTAGGGGTCCACGATAGTGGATCTCAACACATACACTAATAGTACCTATTTACTTACATCATACTATCTTATAATATCAAAACATACATTATTTATAAAAGTACCTATGAAGTAAAAAAAATATTATATATGTTTACAAAATTGTGTAAGTTGTAGGATGTTGCTATTCGCTTTGTGGTCGCAATACATTTTGAACTTGTAAAAACCTGAGAGTCGCAGTCTCAGAGCTTCGCTACCTTGCACTGACTTGTTCAATTCGTCACTCTATAAATATGAATGTGGGACAAATACGTTTATTCGTTTCCTGAATCTTGAAAAGAAAATATTTAAAAAAATATAAACAGATAGTATGTCACACAAATTATAGTGAGTCAGTGTTATTTTGTTTGAGGGTGCTGGAGAAAAGTAAGTACATTATTTTTTATTAAATTTTAGTTTTGTATTCGTAGTTAGCAAAGATAAATAAATTACGCCAATCATGACTTTAGTTATTAGTAGTTTAATATTCAATCATGCAAAACTACACGAGTACTCCTCAATAGTTTCTTTTTGAAAGTTCTAGCAATCGGTATTATAATTACAGTGCAATCTCCGTAATTCGAGCTAATTGTTGCAAGAAGATGTTCGAATTATGGAATGTTTTCGGAAAAGCCGTTGAACAGGTTTTAAAAACTGTTTTACACAAACCTGCATCTGCTATCATTAAAAGAATTCCCTTAAGCAACAATACTGTTGAAAGACGTATTGATGAAATGAGTTCTGATATTGAAACCTTCTTATGTAATTATTTGCAAACGACCCACTTCTCTATACAACTGGACGAGTCAACTTTACCTGATAATGCAGCATTATTATTTGCATATGTTCGTTTTATTATGAATCAAGAAATCTACGAAGAACTGCTCTTCGCAAGAACTTTGATAACCGACACTAAAGGTGAATCAATATTTCATGTTTTGAAGGATTACTTCATTGAAAAAGCAATTCCTTTATCAAATATAATATCAGTAGGTACAGATGGAGCACCTGCCATGGTTGGACGTTATCGTGGATTTATAAGCTATTTAAAACAAAATGTGTCAGGGGTGTTAGCAATAAATTGCGTCATCCATCGACATTTAGTTGCTAAAAATTTGAGTGTTAGATTGCATGAATCACTTCATTTAGTCATTGATGTAGTAAACCGAATTCGAAGCAACGCGTTGAATACGCGGTTATTTGCGCAGTTGTGTGAAGAAAATGACGAACACTTTCATCAATTACTCCTTCACACTGAAGTACGCTGGCTGCCGAAAGGCTTATGTTTGACAAGATTTTTTGCACGTTTTGAGACTATTTTAGAATTTCTGGATACTAAAGATAAAATTTTAAAAGAAAATTTAATGAAGAATAAAACAGACATCGCCTATTTAACATATTTGTTTACAAAATTTAATATGGTTAATTCGCAATTACAAGGCGACAGTTTAAATTTGATTAAAACAAAGTCCATCTTATCAGCGTTTCTTGCCAGAGTTAAACTAATGAAGCAAAATATTGGACCGGGCGAATTTTCTGTTCCCCAATTTGTCACATACAAGCTGCCAGGAAGATGACGTTTCAACTTACGTTCAACATTTAAATGCCCTCCATTCAGATTTTGAATCTAGGTTTGAGGATATTTTAACTATGGTAATACCACCGTGGATAATTAATCCATATGGTGACATAGAAGAAACGAATGTCATAATACAAGATGAACTGACTGAACTAAGTACAAACGAAGAACTTAAGGTTCAGTTTAAAAACGGATATCAGCAATTCTGGCTGCAAAACAACATACCCGTTACTTATCCCGTATTAAGGAATATAGCGAGGAAATTTTTAATTTCCTTTCCATCGTCATACCTAGTTCAGCGCTGTTACCAATCTCCTAAAGAAAAAAAAGAAACAGACTGGACATCATTAGCCGAGGAGATTTAAGATTAACCCTTACAAAATTGACGCCAAATGTTGATAAATTTATTATTAAAGCATCGGGTTCATCCTTCTCACTAAAAATAGTGACTTATTGCTTATATTATTTTATTTATATTTAATGCTACGTATATTTTACATAACAGATACAAAATTTTATTTTGAGTAGTTTAAATTCAATTAATAAATGTATAAATTAACAGTTTTTAACACTAAACTTCACTACAGTTAGAAATTTACAAGAAATCAATGTCAGGTAAGTAGGGGGTCTACCCAACACGGAAAAACATGGCAAGGGGTCTACGACACAAAAAAGTTTTGGGGAACTCTGATCTATAGTATGTGCCAAATGATTGAGAAAAACGGACAATGACCTTTCGGTCGTTTAACCAGGGGTTACAAGCCTTCAATATATTGGCACATTTTATATGTAGTACTTTCTTTATTAGTAGGGAATTTTTATTATTATTTTTATATGATTCATATAATATATATTTATTAACTATTATTAAAAGTTATGTAGAAGAATAATAATCTCTTGTTATAAAGTACATTATTCATTTAACAACAAAAAGCATTAATTTATAACACAAAGATTCGAATGATAACGACACCGAGTAAATACGTACCTTGTTCAAAAGATAAAGTATATATAAGAACTTTAGTTTTACTCGGTGCAGTCATCACTCGTATTTTCACTTGATGTGTATTCAGATGAACTGTAACATTAATTATAAAGCGATCTGCAGTTTGGTCAATTCTATCATTCATGCCACGCATTTTTTGTTCAACCGTAAGGACATGCTGAACACAGTTTTTCCATTTATCTGGCGTGATGTGAGTTAAACCGTCTTTAAGTAAATTTTTAACATCTGTTAACCTGAAGGTTGTATTGGCCCAAAAAAGGTCTCATCTCTCATTCGCCATTGTGACGTTTCTTTTAGAAGGAACTGACGTAACAGGGCAAGAACGCGAAAAGATGTACATTGGACTTTTCTACATGTCCCCAGGTTATATCGTACTGCTGTGCGACTTTGATAAGTTTTACAAGAATCATTACCATATTAGTTGATTTTAGATGAAATAGGCATGTCATATTTATTAAAATTTTACGCATGAAATTATACTGAATTGTAAAAATTTAAGTTTAAAAAATCGTGATTTTGTTGTATAGTACTGTCCCTTAAAAAAACCGGCATTTTTAACAGCGTTTTGTGAAAAAAAAAGTTATTTCACTGGCAAACCTTTAGTTACATATTTGAAATTTGGCGGAATTTTAATTATTTTTTAAGTTAATTGTGCTGCCAAAGCTAGAATTTCTACTAAATAAGTAATTTTTAAATTTGTCCCCGGCATATGAACCTACCGGACATGTCCAGGTACCGTTACCGCATTTTCGTTTAAATTTATAGTTTTTTTGTTCAATGTGGTATTTATTTTTTTATTTAAACGGCAACATCATAATGAGACCGAAAAAAGAAAAAAAAAGATGTCTATGGTTAAATCAGCCATTTTATTCAAACAGCTGTTTCATTTTCGGCGTTTTTGAGAGGTTGTGTTTTTACGGGCACTGTCCGGTGAGTAAATTAATTTGTTTTTTGGTGTTATAACGTGTTTCCAACGCATATTTTATGTCTAAAACTTACATGAACTATTTAAGATTACTATAATGTGAAAAAATGTGTGATAAATATCAGCAATTGTAGAAATTTTATAGTTTTGTATAAGAAGTACTCGATTCCGTTACCTCATGTCCGTTACCATCGCGGTGGTAACGTATAGGCCGGACTTGAAAGTCACGAAAGGATCACGTAAAGCAAGGTTTACATGGTGTAAACTTGATTTTTTTCTATTATTTTATTTATTGTTTTTAGGTACCTCTGAACTCCTTCATTTATATAGTTATTTCGAAAATCATTTTTTATTTAAGATTTATTATATTCTGGATTGGTCAAATAGAATTTCATCAAAATCGGTCTACTATTTTTGTTTTGGAGTCAAAATAGCTAGAAAAAGTGTGCTATTCCAGATACTAATTTTTGTTTTATTGTAGTTCTATAGAGAAAGTTACTGAATTTTTTGTTAGGCTTGTTTGTTGTTGGCTCATTTTTCCTGAAAAAAAAAAATAATAATACATGTATGTAAGAAATATAATTTAGGTATCAATTCAACAGGTAAATAATTGTACTTAATGGAATTTCAGATTTCAATATGGTGCTCACTGCAGCTGAAAAAAATGCGCCGTTATCGCCAAAAAATTAAAGATAATCCCCAAAAATATGAACAACAAAAGAAAAAAGACCTACAACGCATAAAAACTAAAAGAAAGAAAATATCACAACTCGATGATGCCGATAAAGATAAAATAAGAAAACAATGGCGAGATCAAAAAAAGAGGCAAAGAAAAAATAAAAAAATAAACAAAAGTAATGAGAACCAAGATAAAGACAACGAAAACATTGATAGGGATGGAGTATCATTCAGGGAAAATTCGCTCAGCAGAAAAAGTCGAGAGTCAGATTCGAGTTTAAAGTCAAAATTGAAATACATGAAAAAAAAAGTGTTACATATTATTAAAAAAAATTGAACAATCTCAAAAAAACGAACAATCACTGCAAAGAATAAAAGAGAGGTTGAAAAAAAGATTGTATAGACAAAAAAATGCCAGTGAAACTATAATTAAAAACCTGAAACTCACATCGATAATATGAAAGCGCGCGAAGAAATTTTAGAAGCTGCTTTAAAAAAAGACGTATAAGAATTGCAAGAAACAAGCAGAAAAGAGAGTACTGAAAGGGATAGTAGAAAACGCTGAAGTAAAAACTTTCGTAGCTAAATTAATGGGTTTATCAGGAAGAACCAAGTACAAGAAGAAAACAACATCTAAAGGCAGAATAACTGAAATTGAAAATTTTTTCATCAGAGACGATGTTAGCCGTTGCACCGCTGGCAAGAAGGAATGTCGATCCAAAAACAAAGAAAAGCGTCAAATCCGGTATTTGTTGGACACATTGAATAACTTATACGTTAAATATAGGAGTGAAGGTGGGAGGTACAAATTAACAACTTTCCGTAAATACAAACCATTTTTTGTATTGGCTCCTCATCTTGCATCACGTGACACTTGCCTCTGCGTTAAACACGATAATATCCAACTGAAATTTAAAGCTTTGAGAAAGAGTGGCTTAACTGAACACCGACACATAAAAGATGTACTCCAAGAACTATCCTGTGACCTAAAATCTCCCTTGTGCATGCATGGAAAATGCAGAACATGCAAAAATAAGCCTCTTAACTTTGAACCCGGTATGTATTTAGACGAAATGGTTACTTGGACTCAGTGGGAGCGAAAACGACATGAATATTTGAAAAAGGACGGGACTGAAAAGAAGACTTGTGTTTGCATAAAAACAGAAAAAGTCAAAATCACAAGCACATTGCGTGAACTATTACGCATATTTAAGGCGGACTTAAAATTATTCAAAAAACACCATTACAATGTACACCACCAACAAGAAAAATATCAGGAGGGCGTTACGTATTTGAAAGAAAATGAAGCTTTAGTCATTTGTGACTTTTCTCAGAACTACGAATCAAAACTAAGCTCAGAGATTCAGAGTTTGCACTTTGGTGGGTCTAAATGTCAGATTTCGCTACATACCGGCATGATCTACTTCAAAGACACATCCCAATCATTTTGCACTGTGTCGCCAAGCACCGTTCACCAACCACAAGCAATCTGGGCCCATTTAAAACCTGTGCTTGAGTACATTAAAGAACATCAGCCTCAAGTTACTGTTATTCACTTCTATTCCGATGGCCCTACTTCACAGTATCGCCAAAAAAACAATTTCTATCTGCTCAGCGTTTTTAGGCAAAAACTGAATTTGGACCATTGTACGTGGTCATTTTTTGAAAGTGGGCACGGTAAGGGCGTGGCGGATGGTATAGGAGGCACAGTGAAAAGAGTTTTAGACAGGAATGTTTGTTTCGGAAGAGATATTTCAAATGCTTCGGACGCTTTTGAAGTTTTAACCCTTAAATGCATAATGTATCAAAAACGATACGTTGAGATTTTTTAACTAAAACTTAAAGCCAATTGTTTGTTTTTATTAGGCTGTATGTTACGATGCCCTTAGACTATTTGTCTATCGGAAAAAAAAAACAAAGTTTCTCGTATTGGTCCACCATATTTGTTTCGTAGCTGTCAAAAGTATTCTTGTCAGCGAGTGAATGTTTTTGTGAAAAAATTCTAACTTTATCCAGACGAATCGGAGTGGATTTGAGACAAATTATATCAAAAAAAAATATACAATGTCAAGGTAAGTGTTTGTGTTTATAGTAGGTTTATGTATTTTTTTACGAAAAATTGATTTCTCTCATAAACAAAAGAGTTTTTAGTTTGTATCGAAAATGAGACACCATGCACTTAGGCATAAAAAATATTTCTATGCATGTTGATGATTTTCGCGTTTTTGTTTTTATTTACGCTTCTTTGAACTTTACAAATTTGTTGCAGAACTACAAGAAAGAAATTGAAAGACGATGATATAGAAAATATGCTAATGCGGTTAGAGGCTGGCGAAATTTCAGAAGACGATGCCGAATCAGATGAGGATGACTTGGATTTCTATCCGTCTCGCAAAGATCTACAAGCCGTACTCGAAGATAAAGAAGTAAGTGATGAAGAGGAAGTGCCTGAAACTGAAGAATGCCCGGATCCTCCCCTGGTTCATGAAGAAATCTATCAACAAGCTTCGACTTCTCGGTCTAATGTATTTCCGCAAATAAATACACGAAATTTGATTTGGAAAAAACGCTCTTTGGAGTATAAAGAGGAATCAATTGCTTTCTTGGGTAGTACAGAATTAGGACCTGAACTAATGAAACTAGAAACCCCACTGCAGTTCTTTTCACAGTACTTTTCAGAAGACTTGTTGAAAAAAATTGTTGAAGAAACCAATAAATATTCCACGCAGACCAATATTGATCGCCCCGTTCAAATAAGCCTTACAGAACTTCGAAAATATTTGGGAATATTGATATTCATGTCTGTCTATCGCTACCCAAGCGTTAGATCGTATTGGAGCAGTAAATTTGGATTTAGACCAATAATAGAAGCAATGCCTGTCAACAAATTTGAAAAAGTAAGAAGCATATTACATTTCAATGATAATAATTTACACAAACCAGTTGGTAGCCCCGACCATGATAAACTTCACAAACTAAGACCCATTATAGATCATCTGACAATGAAATTTTCTAGTGTTCCAATGGAACAACGCCTTTCAGTTGACGAACAAATGTGCGCAACAAAAATCAGCCATTTCTTGAAACAATATTTACCCAATAAACCCCACAAGTGGGGGGTTCAAGCTTTTTGCGTTGTGTTCCTTGGCAGGATATTGCTATGATTTCATAATATATAGTGGAACAGACAAAGAACCAATGCGTAGTAATGAACCTGATATTGGAGTGACCGGTAATACAGTAATAAAGTTAACTAGAAGAGTCCCAAGAATGATGAACCATGTAATATACTTCGATAACTATTACACTTCATTACCACTAATGTATTACATGGCGAAGGAAGGCATATGGTGCTTAGGTACGGTGCAGCTAAACCGTCTAGGAAAGTCTTGTAAGTTGCCTAAAAAGAAAGAAGTAATGAACAGTAATGTACCCCGAGGATCCTACGTTGAAAACACGACAAGTCTCGATGGTGTGGATTTTTCTGCGATCAGTTGGAAAGATAACAAGCAGGTGACCTTACTTTCCACTTATATTGGCGCTGAACCTGTAGAAACGATTGAAAGATATGACAAAAACCAAAAGAAAAAAGGTGCCCATACCATGTCCAAAAATAATAAAGGAATACAACGCACACATGGGTGGAGTAGACCTCATGGACTCTTTCCTAGGCAGGTATCACATAAAAGTAAAGTCTCGGAAATGGTACATGCGAATTTTTTACCACTTACTCGACCTATCAGTAATTAACTCCTGGATATTATATAAGAAAGTCTCTGCTAAAAAGAATTTGAACCCTAAGCAGGTTTTGAATCTGGCAGAGTTTAGAGCTGAATTGGCGGATGCTCTCTGCAAATATGGCGAACATGTTGTACCTTCACGAGGTCGACCAAGCCGAAACTTTTCGGAGGAGCCAGCACCTAAAAGGAAAAACATCCAGCAGGTAATGCCCTCGAGAGATGTTCGGTACGATGGAGTGGATCATATTCAATCGAGGCAACAAAATCGTATGAGGTGCATGAACCCAGGCTGCAAACTGCTGAGTAGTATTATGTGTCTAAAATGTAAGGTGTATTTGTGTTCTAACAAAAAAACAACTGACTGTTTTAATGATTTTCATCTATAGGACATATTTTTGTGATCATTTGGTTGCACATTAGTGCTTTGCAATAATTAACAATAAGTCAATTAACGGAAGTAGTACACAATAGAACTGAGAATAAAATTGTAGTTTTTTGCATGTTGTATCAAAAATGATACCAGAATATTTTTCAAAATAAAACTAATTATATTGAATAATGATTTTTTATTTTATTTTTTCCAGCATCTATAAACCATTTTACACAACATATATTTTTTCCAATGATATTGGGTATGTCATGCATTTAAGGGTTAAAGGACTCTCTGTGCACAATTAAGATTTGGTATATCTCTGAGAAAGATATTGACGAAATTGCTGCTCTTTTGCCTCAAAAGCTATCAATTGTAGTTGGAACAATGCAATTACATCAGATTGCAACACAACAACCTGGAACTATTACTTACAGAGACTTGGGATGTTTTTGTGGGTCACAAAGGGGTTTATGTTCATGTTACGAACCAAAAATCCACAAATTCGAATGTCCTACGACAGAAAATAGAGGCATTGAAGCAGCTGATACATTAGATGATATTGAACCATCAGATTTAATGAATGTGGATGTTGAGATAAACCTTGAGGAACTGTCAGCGATGAATGATGTAAACTTTTCATCAATTGGTGATCTCACAAAGCCAAACCAAACTAACTCAGCGCTTGAAAATGTGGACGAGGACTTTTCTTTCATTGGAGATTCTTCGAAACCAAATACTATCAAAGCCAACTCATCGATGGACGAGGTAAATAGTTGTTCAAACGGAAACACTGGTAAGCCCAATATTAGCCAAGGCGATTCAGCGATGGATGACGTGGACTTCCTTTCTGTCGGAAAGGTCAAAACGCAAAACAATGGTGACATTGTTATTGAAGTCGTGGACAACACAAAGACTGCAAAAGATAAGATGAGCGTTAAAGAGTCAACAGTGATGGATTATCTGAACATTTCATACACAAATTCTACAGCTGATAATAAGCCGAATGTTTTCAAAACTGACTTGGTAAATGACATTCAAATGTTGGACCAAAATACCACCAATGATGAGATTATTGTAGAGGAAACAACTGTAATGGAACGTCCACATATTTCCCCTACACATCCCGCGGATTACACACAGACAAATGCAGTTAGCCAAGCCGATTCATTTAACCCTTGATTTACCACCCTAATTAAAATTTCACTTATCACCACCATGAGTCCCCGGGACTCATATTTTAATTTTTTAAATAAAAACTAAACGAAAGATGTTATTTATGTTGTTATTTATTAAACTTCTAGCAAACACAATAATTCGTACATATCTGGTAACATTTTGTGATAAACTCAAATTAACATGCACATTTCTTAAGTTTACAAATACTTTAAAATTAACAGTAATCAAAAATCGTCTGCTACGACTTACAGAAGAAAAAATAAATGTTGTAACTCTTGGACAAAATAAAATATTTTTTCTTATAGAAGACATTATGAGGTAATTAAAAATAACAATAAATTATAATGGCACTATACAAAATTTCAAAACGTGCAACAAGTTAACATACTAATGTGGTACACATTTTTGGCATATCTTTTTGGAACAAGTAAGGCAGATTGGCTTCTTACAGACAGTGCAAAGATAAGCAGTCTTTGTTCGTTTCTTATAATTACAAGTGTAGCAATATTTGCGCTGATTTCTTGGTAATATATCATCAGTTTGCGATGTACTTGGTTGATCAGGCATGTCTATTTTAGTAACACGTGAAATAAGTGTACGAATCTCTCGAGGCATAGTTGTATTGTAAAGACGAGTTTTCAAATTTATAAAATTGAGATCTTCGGCAACTGCTTTCAGAAAATTTAGTCTTGTAAGATTTTTCACATTAGACTGCTGACTATATATTATATAAGCATTGACTCCTGACAAATCAACAATGCGATAAAATACAGCCATAGGCCATCGAGATGTTCGTCGACTGCAAGTATACACGGAGCATTTCTGATCAACTGAGTCCACGCCTCCCTTAGTATTATTGTAGAACTCAATTATTTCAGGTTTCTTGGATGCCTCATTTACTGTGTTATCGTGGTGCATACTTGAGTATAAAATTACGGCTCGATTTTTTTTGGGAACATAACTAACTAGAGTTATATCTTTGGTGAATCCGAATATAGAATGATCAACATCTCTATTTTTGTTCGGTAAAAACGGTTTAGGTATTTCAGCCTTGTTTTTTCGTAATGTTCCTACAGTTGTTAGACCCTTGGTTTTCAAAAGAGTTGCGAGATCTATGGAAGAATACCAATTATCTGTAGTGATATTACGATTAGATGCTATAATTGGTTCGCATAACCTCAGTACGGCTTGGGTTGGTACAGGTCGTTTTCGATCTTCTTCCGACAAAGAGTAGCCATCGGATCCTTTTCCAGTATAAAGATATAAATTATAAGTAAAAAAAGTCTCAGAGTCTACCATCAACTGCATTTTTAGACCATATTTCCCAGGTTTACTTGGCATGTAAACTTTGAATCTTGATCGGCCACGAAACTTTATCAACATCTCGTCGATAGTTACATTGGTACCTAGTGTATATTTAGCCTGGGAATTTGTTACAAACATTGACAGAAGATTGGAAATAGCACATCCAGGGTCTTCTTTTATACGTTGTTCACGATCTTCAAAATTATCAAAACGCAAAGCTACAAGTAAAGCACAGAACCTGTGTTTCGACATAGTAGCTCTAATTATTTCTCTGCCCGTGCCATCAGTAGCAAAAAGTGACAACACACTTTCACGGCTCGATTTGAAAACCGATGTATAAAGCAAAAGAGCAATAAAACCTTTTATTTCAATTTGGCTTGTTTCTCTAAAATGCTTGCTTGATGACGGATGCCTTTCACGTAATTGCTCTAGTTTTTTGTTTGTCCACGTAATAATTGTATCCAACATGTTAGAGTCAAAAAAAAATTCAAAAGCCTCTAAAGGGTTCACGTTTTGTACTGATGATGATGGTCGAGATGGCAGTCGTAAAATATTATGAGAGGCTGTTCGGACATTGCGTGACGGTGGAGTTGTAGACCACTTGAATCTATTTTTGCCATAAAAATAATTACCTGATGATGAAGGTAAGTTGTCCAAGTTACTATCCTGTTCTTCAGTCTCGGAGCATTCGGAATCGGTGTCGTGATCACTCACAATATAATCGACGTCCTCGTCATCGGAATGTGGCTCACGAATACATTCAGCTGCATAGCCGCCGCCATCGCCAATCTCTTCATCTTCGCCCAGTAAATCATCTTCTTGCAGCCAATCGTTTATGATATCTGAGGCTAAATCATCTGCAATGTTCACCGATTTAATCCATCTACGTTTAGATGCCATAGTAAAAGCCTAAAACAAAATTAAAATAGATAAACAAAAAAGTCAGTAAATCCATTTTTGAAACACAACACTCCACCATGAGTCCCCAGGACTCACACTCGATCTTATTTACCTTTCTGAACGACGTGCGCACGCGACCGCTCACCTCTGCGTCCCGCGCCTCACTGCAGGAAGGTACTAGAAAGCGCAAGTCTTAACTCTAAAAAATAAACTATTTTGTTGTTGTTTAAAAGTAGTGGTGAGTCCCGTGGACTCAGGGTGGTGCATTAAGGGTTAAAGAGAATTTAAGTACTATGAGGAAGATCCCATGTATTGTCGACCTAACCATTCATCCTTTGGAGATGAAACTTACTTATAAGCCTAAAAAAAGGTCTAGCAGCAGCGTGTTATGTGTTTCGCAACCAAAAGTGAAGAAAAGTATTGAAGAAGAAATAAACTCGAAAAATAACAGCAAACCATGCACTTCAAAAAGCTTGCGAAAAAGTACAGTTTCTATTTTGAGTAATGTTTCTGTTGACTTAAAATCTAAAACCGAACAAACGAGATTACCGAAACAATCAAAAGGATTAAAGATGATTGTGAAACGCGCATTTACATGTTACAGTTGCAATGGTCCTCTCCTCTCGAATTGCATTACTAAATGTATATCTTGTTGTAACCGATTTTGTTTGGCCTGTGCCACGGGAGAAGTCACCAAAGATTATATTTGCGATAATTGCCTTATGTAAGTGATTTGGCAATTTTTCTACTCGAAGAGCTTTACTATGCCCTTATATTTTGTTTTTTATTTTTTATTATGTACACACTACGACTTTAAGATAAGTTTATTTTGTAGACAAATGATTCATGTCTTTTTCATCGAGTCCAAATGATTATTTGTTTTAATGTTTAAGACATCATAAATCTGAGACTGAACATATTACTTTAATAGTCTGAGCTTATTGTGATTTAGAGCTATCTCGTTATCACCAAAAATAGTAGTTTAATGAAGATAATACATGTTTATTAGCAAATAGGTACAAAATATTACAAGTCACATATTGATAGAATTAAGTTTTAGCTTCGATGTATACTAAAAAAGCAGTTATAATTTATTTTTAATAAAAACTTTGTTACTGAAACATGGATCGAATACATGATTTTATACATCTCCTTTGAAATTGCATGACGGGGCAGTAAATTTTTGAATTAGAATAAATAAATAAAAAATAATATTATCGATCCATGTTTATTTCTACGAGTTACCTAAACGTTTTTTATTCATAAGTTCTAGTTTAAAACTAAAATAATTGATTATATGTAACGATCTCATACTAAATATTTAAAAAGTTTTTTATTTATTTTTTTGTTTTATATGGGCTTGCTCTTGACCCCAATCTTGCCCTAGAGCAGAGATGGGATCTGCGATGGAGCAAGCTTGCCCAGAAGGCACTGATACTCCCGCACACCGACAGAATACAGCAGAGCTGCTTGGCGCCGGACTCCGGTGGGATGGTGGTCGCGAGCCAGGCGGCCCCTTTCAGGGCCTACCACTGCCTTTGGGATCTTTAACCGCCATCACAAATTGTGTTGACGTTGCCCAGGGTGGACCGCTAGGAGGTAGATCCCACCCACCCCAAAGTGTATCCTAATATTAAGCGGCATGTGAACTCAACCTTACAGGGTCCTGTTCGTTGTTAGCATGTCCTGTTACGAGACTGTACCCTAAGCAAATGTTGCTAAAAATGTTGACTTTATTTGAGAAGGTTTAAAATATGTACACACATTATTTTAGGAAATAACGTAGTTCATCAAAATACTATAAATTAAAATAGTTAAATATCAGAACCGCTAATTTTGTGAATTTTATGAAAAACTTTTGGATACATTTTACACCTTTAGTAACGTACAGGACAGGAAAAGTAGATTAATCTCGTGTATTTCTAAGTTATCAACCTGAAAATACATTTTATAAATAAAAAAATCATGTTTTCTTTAATTCAATAAATAATATTTGCATACAATTTAAGTTTTAACTATACTAATGAACCAAAAACCAGCGGTAACGAACAGGATTAATATTTTAACCTACTTTAAGAAATTTGCAATTTCTCACAAAATAACCACTTTAGGAGAAAACTTTTACGATTTTCGGAAAAAGGAATTATTGGAGATAATATTAAGTGAAAAATTCAAGGAAATTCTATCAAAAAAATATTAAAGCTCAATTTTGAAGCAGTGTACTACTTTTCGCGTTCTTGCCCAACAACGCGCGTTTTGTTTATTTTAAAGGGATGAATTTGCAAAAGCTCAGTATGGTGATTATATTGCTTTAAATATGTTTTTAATACGAAACTGTTATTAAATGAATTGCTGCGTTACTTACCATAAATTGAAATATAACACATTTTTCGCGATGTACAGTAAGATTTTACGATGTTTAAGGAACCACTGACAATATCATTAAAGAAAAAAAAAAACATGTGCTGACCTAGAAGCGTGAAGAATATCAATATTTAAATATTGTTATCAACTCTAAATTGAGATTTTGTAAGTTACGCCTTTTGACACTCGGCTTATATCCGAGGTCATTGTACGTTTTTCTCAATCGATTTGGCACATACTAGTATGAATGCATTTCGAAACCGCGATCCATCTCGAGGCGGTTTTTTTTCAGCTCATCAAGTGTATACATACACTATGCCTCTAAATCAAAGAAGTTTGTATACTTTCCACATATGTTAAAACTGTAAATTAAGCAGCAAATGCTCTTCCGCCGTGTAGGTTTCGGTTTCTAAACAGTTCTAGCTGCCCTAACGACCTGTTTCTTAATTACCGTTTTAACTCTCATTACAATAAAACATGAACGTCACTGCTACACCCTGAGCTATCAGACAGATGGATTCTGGGTTCATCTCAACTTCATGAGACATGTCGACTAAATCACAAGAAAAAGATGATAAGAGAATCGTGGGAAAAATTGAGCGTCAACGTATGACACGCGTCGGTGACACGCTGACAAGATATAATATCAAGTGGACGTGATTTTACGGCATGACACATACGTTACGGTCGAAATGAGCGTCTACAAATACTCTATACATCTTTAAAATTGCTTCAGTTTCTATAGTGGGAAGCAATAGAGAAAACTGATGAAAACAAAATGGTGGGATACTGTTTGCTGTTGCAGCTGCATATCTACGGTCTACATTCAAAATTTAATTACACCACTTCATAGCTAAAGAATCAAAGAATTCGTTACGTTGAGTGAGGACTGTGACGTATCGCGGCGCGCTGCGGAGCGTAGGAAGTTAGGAACGCCGCCATTTTAAAGTAGTATAATTTTACGTACACGTATTCACCTAAAACATACGGCCGTGGCCACGACATAGTTACACCCCGATTTCTTTTTAGGGTTCCGTAGTCAACTAGGAACTCTTACAGTTTCGCCATGTCTGTCTGTCCGTCCTCGCTTAATCTCTGTGACCGTTAGCACTAGAAAGCTGAAATTTGGTACCAATATGTGTATCAATCACGCCGACAAAGTGGTAAAATAAAAATTGGAAATTTTTGCTATATGTAAAGTGGGAAGTGATTTTTTTTTTAAATTCAACCCTAACGTGTGATATATTGTTGGAAAGGTATTTAAAAATGAATAGGGGTTTACTAAAATCATTTTTGATAATGTCAGTAATTTCGGAAATAATCGCTCCAAAAGTAAAAAACAATGTGTCCCCCACCCTCTAACTTTTGAACCATAAGTTAGTTTAGAAAATATGAAAAAAAAAACTGAAAAGTAGAACTTTATAAGGCCTTTCTAGGAAAATAATTTTGAACTTGGATGGAAACAACAGTACCCACTACCGGGAGCAGTTGTAGGAGCGCGAACATAATGGATACACACCTTTAAACTCATAAGTAGGAACACTTATTGTGACGGACACGAAACTACGGAACCCTACACGGAGCGTGGCCCGACACGCTCTTGTCCGGTTTTTATTAATTAGGACGATTATGATAATTTTCTCGCGACTGTCCTACCACCACCATATAATATATAATTCCCAAGAATTATTTTGGTGACGACGCAATGACATTAAGTTTGTCTAGAGTAAATATCTGACTAATATCGAAGGCAGCCTAGTAAGACTTAGTGGGAATTGGTCTCTTACACCGGCTTTATGTTACGACACCACTACCCCGTATCATCCCCGTATGTGTCGTAAAGGGCGACAGAGGGCAACTAAAACAGGAGATCAGCAGCAACACCCTCCAATTTAAAATAAAAAAATGCAGTTGCCAACCCAACTTTTAAGCATGGCAATTATGACAATGATGAGCATCATTGTTTCAATCTATAAGGCCTAATGCAATCTATGGGTTAAGCCTGTGTTCAGCAATGGCCTTTCACGATGATGGCTAATATCAGAGAATATAATTGCTTATTATTTATCATAAATGAGGAAACAAAACTAGTAACTGACTTACAGGATATGGTTAATAGTTTCGTATAACTTATATTGGCCTGTGAAAAGCTGGATTCAATGAGATTGTTTTAATACTTGACAATAGCATATAGTACACACTGTTCAATTAATACTTCATTACTCTAACCCTAGTGAGACATAACTTTCCAATATTTTTAGACACAACTAAACAGGAGATTCTCATTACCATGGGTTATTTCATGATGTGTAACAATACAGCCAAAAAATTAAAACGTTCATCATAAAATACTTGGCTCTGAATAGTCGAGCAATTGGCAATCAAAATATTTTTTTTTCTGAATGATTATGCACAATAAACATACGGCAGATTTGAAACATCAATTGAAATCACACTACATACACAATAGCTCTTGGAAAATTGCGCACTTTTATGTATTGAAAGAAGTTTATAACATTCAAGAAGAATTAATCGTGTGATTTAAGATTCAAATTTCAACAATGAAAAGTTAACTTTTGCAATGTTACGATTTCTTGATATTAATAGATGTCTTAGCCTTGAATTATTACTGAACTAACACCCTTATTGTTTGTTAGTCACTTAAAATTCACATTTCAAATAGTTGTACAATTATGAATATTTTGCAGATGCAATGTAAGGCAATTTTGGAATTCAATAGATATTTGGGATATAATTCAATTCCTGAACATAGTTTTTTTTAATAATTTATTTTCATATATAGCCAACCACTAATGGCCAGATTAACTGAATACTAAATTAAGTTTATAAAGCATGCTTTAACATATTTAATAAGGGTAAATTTTAATCAGTGTCAGTACAGTATGCACAATCAATATAGGTACTTTGTGTCATACTTAGTGTAAAAACTGCATGTGTACAAGCAGTTTTAGTTAAAAAAATATAAATAAAACAGGAATATATACAGATCTAAAGAAACAACCCTACTACTTTTTGTATTAAAACTTTATTTATACATTTATTTAGCCTATAAGTCCATTAATTCTATACCTAAAATTTTAAAACAGCTATTTGAGAACTTAATACTGAGTAGTCAGGAAAATTAAAATTATCATGTATTTCTTATGTCAACTTAATGATCTCATAATATGCCTAGCTTCTATTTCAAGGGACTTGTTACATATTAATCCTATGTTGTACTTAATTATCCGTATAAAACTTTAATTTGACAAACTATGTAAATCCTTAAAAATAAGTCACGGTAAGTACCTACAGTACTACAATAAATAGAAGACCAACTTACATATCAGTACAATTTAAAAGTAATCTATTCATATTCTCTATAAGATAAAAGAAAAGAACTCCAAACTACTACAGTTTTATTGGTTTCCTGACGGCTTCTCCTAGGCGGTCTCATGAGAAGACCATGAGATGTAACTAGTGCTCCGGAGCGTACTGCCTACACTAGCACGGGTATAGTCTGTCTGCTCTACTAGTGTACTTAGCACGAAACCTAGAGATTGAAAAAATCTTATCAGTCATGTACCAAAAATAAATACAAATAAGGGCTATCTTCATAGCATTAATTGTATAGAACTATCAATAAACAAGCTATCATTCCTATTCTTAATTAATGCTATGTAGTGCTCTAAGATCATAACCTAGGAATAAGAACCCAATTACTATTAGTTTCCTATTAAAAAGGCTGTGGTGAGTCTATGGATAGTTTATGGATTCTTGTTGTGATGAAATGGTGAAATACAATTTGTATACATACATTGTTTAATATCTTCCTCCTCTTCCTTGACCACCTCCATAGCTTCCACTTCCATAACCTCCACCGCCACCTCCCTGGTTCATACTATATGGTGCAGCGCGGTTATTGCTATATTGTTGACTTCTTGTAGGTCCCCCACTGTAGCTTTGTTGACCATAGTTACCAAAGTCTTGGTTACCCCAACCACCGCCACCTCCTCTCTGGCTTCCACCTCCATAACCACTTCCTTGGTTTCCACCCCAACCACCCTGGTTGTTATCCCAAGGATTAGCATTGTTCCATCCACCTCCTTGGTTGCTTCCATAACCTCCTCCTACAAATAATAGAATGTGTATTTCTTATACAGTAAATAAAAAAAGACGAAGTTGACATCAACAAAATAACATACCAGAATTACCCCAGTTATCATTTCTTCTCTGTCCTTGTCTTCCACCCCCTCCTCCTCCTCCTCTTTGGTCAGATCCATCCTTAGGAAGAGCCTTCTTAACATCCAACTGTTTTCCATTAATTTTATGGGGGGCATTCACTGTATTTAAATAACAGCATTACATCAATCAAGTTTAAAGAAATATAAAGTTTAAACAACTAAGTAAATATAAAATCAAATTGTTTGTTGACTTGCGTACCAGATCTACCAGTTTATTTGGTAGTCAGGTATAGCTTTAATCAATACTTTACTCTCCACAGTTAGAGAAGCCAAACTTGGACAAATTATTCCACTTTGGGGCAAAACTGTGGAACACTAGATATAATTAATCTCATACTTACAGCACACTTTATCCACTGGATCATAATCGTCAAATTCGACAAATCCGAAACCACGCTTCTTACCAGTGGCTTTGTCGGTGACAATGCTAACATTTTGCACGTTGCCATAATTTGAGAAATATTCTCGCAGTTGGTCTTCTGTGTGATCATCTTTAATACCTCCTATGAACAACTTCCTGACGGTGGCGCCTGCCTCTGGGTTTTTAATATCTTGTCTGGCTACTGCCCGTTTTGTTTCTACGACACTGAAATATTTAGACAATATCTATATAAGTAGTGACTAACATTAAACTAGAAAACAAATTGAAAATAGATTTAAATTGTCGACGCCACAGAAAATGCCACGTGGAAGAACACACGAGACATTCACCAAGCAGTATCTTTTAATATTTGCAGTATAAAACGATATGAAAGTAGCATTTTAACTTTCATATAGCTGGACTGCAAAAATAATGTATACGTAGGATAATAAAATTACATACCGAGTATCAATTGTATGTGGTCGAGCGTTTTGCGCATCATCGACCATATGAGCCTTTGAGTATGTAATAAATCCAAACCCTCGAGACCTTTTGGTTTTCGGGTCCTTCATTACAACAACATCTACAATTTCACCCCATTTTTCAAAGTGGGCTTTCAATGATTCATCAGTTGTTCGATAATTAAGACCACCAATAAAGATTTTACGATGGACCTCCGGCTCGTCCTGAAAATTAGGGCGTATAAAACAACAGTCAACAAAATGGCGGATGGCGTGGCTTTCCAGAACATGAACTTTTTTTTTTCAAAATATTACATATTTATTAACCACTGTAAGTGCAAAATCGAACCGGTAAGAGCTAATAAAATCATTATTATATAAATACAATTCGCCTAGTTAAGTATAATAATTTCAGAAATAGCTGAACCGGCATTGAATGTATTTATAATAATATAAATTTACTTACAAAGCCATCGTCGCCGTTTTGTTGAGGTCTCATTTTCAAAAACTATTAAGCCAAAATTATAAAAAAATCAATTGATTGTAAAGATAACAACTTTTTAAACGCAACAATTAAACCGGTGATACAAGTTGGACACCTCCGAACTCAACCGACGCCACGCCAAAAAGAAAGTGCGTAAGATCGGTGACGGATACAATGACCATGCGCTTACGCGAAGTGTTGCCAACAATAAAACTGGCTTTCCACCAGACTCAACTTCTACAATCACCATAAAATCACTAATATAAAGCGATCCTATGCTCCTATTCGCTAAATTTTCCACTAAACAATTTTTTGTTTATTTCGAAAGAAACAAATAGGTATATTAGTAATTTTTTACTTTAGTTATTACATTCTATGTAACAAAACATTAAATTTTATGAAAATAATCAATAAGTCAACAAAACAATTAGTAAATCAACAAGACAACAACAAGAATATCATATAATGTAGTTAACTGCTAAGTACTTTAAATTAAAATCGTATTTTTCAGTTGAATCATTTTTGTCGGCACCATCGTCATGCTTACAATTGTATGATTACTTTTTTTAATGTGGATTTTAAACCGATCTTTGAATGATCTCGCTAGCCACTGTTACGGATGGTTAGTTTGATCGTGAAAAGCTAAGTAGACATATACATATACATGAGGCAGTTTGGGTTGAGACCTGGACTGTTCACTAAAACTGCAATCCTACGACTCAAGCTTACCTTCCAATATTATGTTACGAGAAAAATACCTGTCTATACGTGTTTTTGGACTTGTCGGAGGCATTTGACAATTTTTTCTGGTATCGCACAACATATGGAATAACCTTCGGAAAGAAACCTTCACGCCTAAGGAGATAGTCAATATAATAAGGTATTGGTACCACAACCAAACAGATGTTTGGTGGGCATGCTCATACTCAAGCGAATATACGCTCTCTATGAGGTATATAAATGGATTTATCGAAATCAGCAAAACCAGCGTCGGATGCTCAATAGGCAGTAAATTCGTAAAAAACTTCGGTTACGCAGATGACATTGTAATGCTGAGACCAACCATCAGGTCACTCGAGACATTAATTTAATACGCGAGAGATATGCAAAAGCCCGTGGCGTCGGGTATAGCTCCAAAAAGATCAAACTGGTCAGGCTTGGAGGAGTACCTTTAAGTAGGGTCACCAAATTTAAATACCTAGGAAACTGAGTTACCGGGAACCTCTCTGATGACTTGAACATTGAAAAAATCGTAGAACGTTGGCAATGAGGTGCAACATGCTGTCTCGCATTTTTGCAAGGTGTACGAAAGCCGTCAAGATAACCCCTCCTGCAGCTTGTGCGTCAAGCGTACCCGCGGATCTGGAAGTGTTCTACGTGTTCAGTACAATAATGGCTTTAGGATGCTGATGGGACTGTCTCGCTATTGCAGTGCATCAAGTATATTTGCTGAGGCTAACACGGACAGCTTTAAAACAATAGTGCGGAGGAGAGTAGCCTCCATGATGAGACGCGTGAGGCAGTACCAACGGATTCCTATGTTACTGTATTGGGAAAGCTTGATTGCCCGGTGTAACACTGTGTACATGGGGTCCAGAGTTGTTATACTGAATATAAAATAAGTATTGTTGTTTTCATTTGTACATTTATTAACATTAATTTAAAGTTAATTCTTAGTTTTAAATCTGAAATAAAATTATAATTATGTGGTATTAATAAAGTAGTCTAATCTGGTTGGGCTGAATAAGCATATAAAAGGATATGATAAATATACATAAATATATATTTAATATACTAACATAATAAATAAATAACACATAAATAAATAAAAACCCAACCAAATGGAGGCCCGCGGTAGGGAAGACCAAACGGCAGAGGGTGGGGGGAAGGGAAAGAAACTGGCGGGCAATGCGGACGATATCAAGGAGCACCGCCTTTTGCATTTGAGCCCGGAGCGGTCCTTCACGGAGTCCCAGTCACCTCAGATGACCCGAGAGGCTGACCGAGATTAGCCCATTCGCAGAGACGACTAAAAGAATAATTTCGGTCGGCAAACCACCCCACATGTTGGTCACCTCATGAGCCAGGTCCAGACATTTTGTTTTCTTATCTGATTCGGCTTTCATTAGGTTCTCTTCATATGGAATGGTGATGTCGACCAAAAATATCCTTGACTGTGCCCGGTCCATCAGCACAATATTAGGCTTATTCGCAAGATTAGTCCTGTCTGTGAAGATGCCCCGGTCCCAGTAGAGTTATTATTATTATTATATCCCGGAATTCCAAATGTTTCAGTATACTGTGGTTTCGACATATTGACGTATGAACTCGTAAAATGGATGACATTGAGTTTAGCAGGCTACTACTAAAATATTCTACGAGGAAATTCAGCGAATTGTGCCACCTAGGTGGGGTGTCCAAGGTCACGTCACGATGTTTGAGGAATCAGGAAGAAGATTAGAGAGAAGTAGAGAGGAGTTTTCTTCCGCGTACGAACTCTCTGTGGAATAGTTTACCACCGGCGAATTTTCCGGACCGATACGACCTGGGAACTCCAAGAAAAGAGCTTACTCCCTTCTAAAGGGCCGGCAATGCACATGCAATTCCCCTGGTGTTGCGGTTGATCATGGGATCATTAGGTGTATGCTCGTTTGCCCCCTCTTCTATAAAAAAATAGTTCTGCCAATACAATAAAAGTAAATTGTTCTCAAATGAAGTAGGAATATATTTTGAAACGTGAAATAGTTAAGTGACCATTTTTCTACTATTTGAAATCGAATTCTTCTGAAATAATAGAAAAAACTAAAAGCCACTAAAAGCAATATTCTTCCACTAAAAGGGGTGTCGAAACTACCAGTTATAGTGCAAAATCAACTTAGTTGGCAACACTGCAAATGCGTTGCGTTTGTAGTGCTGCCAACCCTAACAGTTCATTTTCCCTCATGTTCAGTTAGTGTTCTCAGATTTAAAAAAACCCATACACACAGATTACCCTCTAATAGATTCCGCATACAGGGCCACAAACGCGCGCAACACATGCTTGCTGTAGCTAGCATACAATACTTTGTATACGTAGCATACGTTACTACGTTAAGAATCACGATATCAGTGCAGACCAAGTTAGTGACCCGTAGGTACGTCTGAGTTTTTGACAATTTAAAAATAGTCTTGTATCCAAAATACATTACAAGTGGCTTCCTGTGCAGTAAAATAGTGCGGCAAGTCATCTTAGACATCCAGTTATCAAAAAGACGGCACAGCATTTCGTCGGTAAGTAAAATCTATTCTTATCACGTTAACCTATTTCAAATGCAACGGAGTTCAACATATACTGGTAATATAATGGAACAAAGGCGCCATTTCATGGTGAGGCCATGTGCACACGCGGGCCTTTGCACCTTCAATTTATGCCGTGGCACAGCACTAACACCTCTTGGCAAGGTGCTGACTGACTGCGCTGCTGTAGCGGTTTTGTCACGTAACCGTTACGTCAGCGGGCGATGAGGTCGTCACTTCCCTACGCCTAATTATTATTATATATATAATTATTGATTTATTATTATTATATTATTTCACCATTTTTTAATGTTTCTTTTTGTTAATAATTAAAAAATTACTTCGCAGATACTACTTACCGACGGCAACGCGGCTATAAATTCTACAAACTTTCAAGGATAGGTGGGCTATCCTTTAGTGCGTAGGGATCATTCTCCTGTAACCTCCATGCGCTACGTGATAAAGAATAGCCCGCCTGTCACTGACAGCTTCACTCGCTTATTCTTTCTAATACACGAAGGTACTGTATGACGCTATAGCTCTCTTTTACTCATAAGCCCTATGGAGTTTATACTAAATTTATGCTTTGCGTTATTTTAAGGAGAACCTTCACTGTATTAAAAAGTGTCCGTAGGAAAGTGCTAAATAAGGGTGGCGCCACTGTAGCTAGAGGGTAAATTTTAAAGAACTTTATACTGCGCAGACCATGGAGGTTAGAGAGAAGAGGAAATTTCGCTACGTACTAATTCATAACCCGCCTGTCCCTAAACTACCGTCGGTAAGTAGTATCTGTGAAGTTAGCTGTTTATGAGTACAAATAGATGAAGTTAGTTGAATAATGTACAAATTTTCTTCGCGGCATTGGTGAGAAAATAATCGTGTTAAGTAATTTTTAATTTTTGACAAAAAGAAACATTAAAAATGGTGAAATATTGTATTGTGCGTGGATGTGCAAGGGATTTAGCATCTGATCGGAAAAATAGACTGAAAATGACTTTTATTGAGACAACTTAGCGATCTAAGTGCCTCACTTATTTTATCCATATTTCTGGGACACTATTTTCTACAACGATCATTCTCCTTCTCTCTAACCTCCATGGTTTGCACCGGAAAACATCAAACACGTAATGTTTTGTAACAAATCGCATAAAAAGAATCACACAACGTGTTTTGTTGATGGTCGTGTTCGCATTCACAAAACACTGTGTAAAATGTTCAACAGATATTGAGATTTGTACTTATTTGTTTATCTAACCTAGAGTTTGCACTGACTCGATTTTCTCAAAAAAACTGTTTTAAACACTGTTTTCTGTCAATGAATCAAAAAGCGTTTGCATAATAAATGAAATTCTAGTGAAATATGTTTGACAGTTTATTGTACATTACATATTTTAACTATATTATATCTTAATAACTACAGAAACAAAATGTTTGAAAACAAATTTGTAGAAATATTGTCATCTTGATAGAAAAGTTTGAATAAATGTTGAAAATTTTACACAGTTTTTGTGATTGCGAACGCCACCATCAACAGAACTTGTTGTGTGATTTATTTTGTGCGATTTGTTTCAAAACATTACGTGTTGGATGTTTCTCAGTGCAAACTATATATAGATTAATCAACGTTAGCGTTCCCACTGTTGTTTTTAATGTTTCGGAATTTGTTTTAAATCGTGTTTTTTTATTATCCAATTTAGTTGCTAAACATCATAAAACATTATTACCCCTAGCGGAGAAGA